TTGTACATTCAGCTCCTATGCAGCCTCCGAGGCGGGAAGCGGCAAAGGCATTAGCATCGGCCTTGGTTAGCAGCCTCCTCAACATCATACTGCCTCAGGTCAGTACTGCAGGATCCCTCCTGGAAAAGAAATACTGTGGGTTTTTTTTTTTTTTTTTGGTTTTTGTTGTTGTTGTTGTTGTTGTTGTTGTTGTTTTAAGCCTTTTGGAATCAAACTCAGAAGTGGCAGCTGGCGAATGACTTTTTCCTTCATCCAGCTTCTCATTTCCACCCCCAGCCTCGGATTTCTGAATTCCAGAAAGACGTTTGTGTATGTGTGCTTCTTATCTGGCGTTCTGTGCTTTTGTTTGTTTGTGTTTTTACGAAGAGCTGCACTTTGCTCTGGGGAGAGGGAGCAAGACGGTAAGTCAAAACTGTGTATTCAGGGAAAAGCTCCCACCTCTACTGCAAACATGGTAATCCTATGCGACCGAACGCTCCCTGTTTTTTTTGATCCCTTAACAGCAATGGATGCCTCAGATCTACCAACTGAAGGCTGAGTCACCCTCTCAGGCTGTGCTTCCTTGAGTTTCTTTCTGGCATGGAAGACACTTTATTTTATGAGCCTCAGAAATGAATGTTTCAGTCACTAGGAGAAGCACGGGTATGGCAAACCACACTGTATTTCAGGGTTGGTTGAGACAAGTCAATATGTGTTTGAGGTTTTGCATTAGAAATCCCAGCCAGCCTTTGTCCAAATACCCCTTCTGTAAACCTCGGCCTGAAGGATGTTGGCAGAACCAAAACCACTTAATCTAACACATGCACAAATGTGTTAGGTTAATATTTAATTAATTAATTAATATTTCGTGTCAGAGCCTTGATATCAAGTGAGGCCTTGTTTTAGAGACAGGGTCTTGCTGTATAACCCAGACTAAACTCAGATTGAATTCAGTCCTCCTTCATGCTGAGATTGTAGGTGTGAGCCAGCTCACCTGGCTCATTGGCGCCATTTTATGTATGGGTAGTTTTTGTGGTTCTGTTTTGTTGAAACAGACTCTTCCTCTGCTTTCCATAGCTTGCCTGGAACTTGTGATCCTCATGCCTCCAGAGTCCTGAGATTACAGGTCTGTGCCACCACACACACATTGTTTATTTTAGATGGTCTTGCTCTGTAGCCCAGGCCAGCCTACAGATTGCTACGTAGCCTAGGCTGGACTCCCATTCACAGCCATCCTCCTGCTTCAGCCAAGTAGGTCATGAGATTACAGAGCTGTGCCTCCACACCTGACTGGTGAGGCCTTTTCATAGTAGATTATTATAATACAAAGTTTCTCTTGCTCCCCAGCTCTTCTGGAAGGAAATGGAGCTCTTCAGATGGCTGGGTAAAGATAGACTAGATACATGAGCCATGCCAAATGATGGTTTAGAGTGAGCACTAAGTGAAGTCTGGTTTTGTGTTCATAGACAGACTTGCTCAAAGCCTGACTAACAGCTTGCAGACGCCCTGTTGGTGTAGAGGTTGTGTGGTATATGGAGTCAGTGTGCTTGTCTTCTTCAGGCTTGTGGAGTAGGTCAGCCTGGGGCTGTTGGAGTAAAGGAGAAAGCCCAGAGTATTGCCTTCTAGCTGTGGCTGGAGTTGAGTGTAATTTACCAATGGTCAGGTTTTTCTCTTACTTTGTGAAGAGGCAAGGTATCCCAATACAAACTGACTTAAAATTGAATCAGCTGCTTTATTAAGACTGTATATTTGTTTTTCATTATGTGAAAAAGATTGGAGACATGATACAGTCATCTTACTTCTTTGGATAAAGGCTGAATGTTGACTTCTGTACCTTTAGAGGGAGTAATGTTTGTATACACACTTGAAATATTCAAGTCCCTCTCAATTTTTAAGTATACAAGCCATTATCTTCATAAGAGAAAAGTCTAGCTTTCCTAATCATCTGTGTCGGACTTTCTCTACTGCAGAGGTCTTACATACATACGGTGTAATTTATTGTCATTTTTGTCAGTTTGAAAGTCTCCACTTTCATGCTCAAGCTGACTGCATTGTATCTGCACTGTATTGTGCGGTGTCAGACAGTCAAGAAGGTGACCCATAAGAGACGCTGGTAACACAAGGCCTGAGCAGGACGTCAGCATGTTTGTCAACATTGTAATTAGGATGAACTTCACTTCCTAATGCAAAGTGGCAGCTGCAGAGATTGAGGTGCCACCTCAGGAAGCAGGAGCCCTACCACACCCCGAGTATATGGTGTTGTCTTTTCACGTGTGCGCATTCACACACACTCCAACATATGCACCCACACTTGGCACTGAGGCCAGAGGAGAGTGTCACATGTTTTCTGTTCATTGCTCTCCGCCTTATGTCCACTAACACACGGTTTCTTACTGCATCTGGAACTCTCCAGATCTGTTTTTGCTATACTGTCTGGCCAACAAACCCCAGTACGCCTGTCCCGATGCCCTCGCCTCCCTCCCAGGGCTGGTGCTACAGGCATGTGCCGCCATGCATAGCTTTTATGTGGTGCTGCGGATGTGAACTTGGTCATCATGCTTGCAGAGCAAGCACTCTTAAAACTGGCCCCCTGCCTTGTGTTCTTTAAGGGACTCGATATGTTTCAGTGGTCTTGTATGACCAGCCTCACGTAGATTTGTCTGTCATTCCTGACATAGTATAGATAATACTATCGTAGGCATGTTACAGAATTTCAGGGGATTTTCTGTGTTCTGTCTTACTGTTATTTGTGCAGGGGCATGTACATGGCCAGCATACATGTAAAAATCAGGAGGTGATTCCCTCCTTCCACCACATTGGTTCCCGGGATCGAACTTAAGTGATGAGACTTGGTGGCCCCCACCCTTACCACTGTGCCATCTCACCTGCCTGAGACTTGGGGTTCTCGACCTGTAGTGTGGAGTGGTGACTGACACAGCCATGCATGCTGGCTGACAGGACTAGAGCCTGTGTATGTAACCCCAGGAAACGCACAGTCTTCATGGCACCCAGCATTGCCCTTGTGAGAGCAATTAGTGTTTGTGTTTTGTTTTTGGTTTTTTTTTAGATAAAGTTTCACCATATATACCTCTGGCTTCTTCGTAGGAACTTGCATTTTATATAAACTTTTCATACTTACTTTTAAAATTTTAATGAAAACTTGGAAGTTGACAGACATAATTTTTTTTCTCTATGGGCCCAACAAAATAACTGAAGATTCTTATGGAGTGTGGTGACCAAGAAACTGAATTTCAGGAGGTGATAGTTGTGGCTCTGTCATGGAGTCATTTGACGGCCTTTTTCTTCATGCAACAGGTGTGGCTATCCGGTGACGTCGGTGGAACCACAAACACTTCATCTTTCTATCGTCTACTCTGCCTTCCACCAGTCACTGGTCAGCGAAGACAGGCAGCAGAGGGGGACAACTGCTGGCTAAGCTTGGTGACAAACAGGCCTGCTTGGTGAAGATGAAGGGTGACCGCCAGTGGTCCATCTCCCAAGGCTTGCCGGAGGCTGTCCTTCTAGTTAAGGTAAATCAAGTGTAATGCGTCTTATCTCCACATTGAAATAGGTTAGACACCAGGAAGAAATGACTTGGAGACAAGTATCAAAGAAGGAGAGTGGAAATGGTATACTTAAGTATGTCTACATGTATGTCCGTGTGTAATGAGTGTGTGAATGATTGTAGGAATTTATGTGTCTATGTGTATCCTTGTGTCTGGAAATATGTGAGTGCGTAGCTACCTGCGGGTGATTGTGTGAGTGCGTGAATTTCAATCCTGAGCCCAGGATTGCATACTGCCCGGTGGAGTCACAAACTCATACCTTGGTCAGAAAGCCACGCTAGTCCCCCAGCTTCCTGTGCATTTGTGTGTGTGTTTTGTTGGCGTGCATCCTGCTGTGTGGCACTGAGGGACAGACTTTGACAGGCCTGGTTTGTAAACAAATCTGTCAGCCCAGGATTTTTCAGTCCTGTGTACATTGGTTCTGCTTTTCCCACCAACACAGAGAAGCCTAGAAGTTTCGAAGCTTGTTTCCTTTTAGACAAGAAAATTTGCACATGACCTAAATAGGCACATCTACCCCATAGAAGTCTTCGGGTTGTCGAAATTTTAAGCCTGGACCTTGAATTGTGAAAGTGAATTGCAGCCACTCCAGAGTGCGCTCCCCCCCGCCCCCAGGACAATGCTCAGGAGAAAAGGGAAGCACCTTTGCCCTCAGAGCTCGTTCTGGGCCATAATGGGATTAGTCACCTAAGATGAGAAAGTGTGATGCAGGTTTCCCAAGAGTGTGTGAGTCATCTCCTTCATAGTCTAAAGTATAAACTTGAAACATCTACCTATAGTTTTTGCATGGTTGATTTAATATCCCAACCAGGTTCAAGTTTTTATGGCAGGAAATGTGTGTGAATGGTTAAGATAGGAGTAAATAATTCTTGATCTTGTGACTATAATACAGGGAGGAACTTTTAATACCAAATAAAAGTTTGGGTGTGGAAAAGTTTTGACTGAAAAATGTAGCACGCATCAGTTTTCCAGAATCTTGCCTATAGTTGTTACGCTGCCTCAAAAGAAACAAATACCAGAATGGTCTGTGTAGCTTTCTTATTAATACCTTTGGTTTAGAAAGACATTTTTAAGTATTTTTTTTTTCTGTGACCCAACATGATATACAGAACCATTAATTGTGGCAGAGGAGGAGAGGGGAAATCTCATCCTGGGCCTCAAACGTACTAGGTAAGCGCTGGGCTGCCAAGTAGCAGTAATGATTCTGTGTGGAACATTCTTGGCCAAGTACAAATGTACATGGGGTTGAAATATGGGATGATACCAAGACCAAGGAGACGCAACAGTGCCACCTTAGACAGCCTACTGCACAGGCACTTAGGAAAGGCACTTTGATGGGACAGAGGAAGAATATAGCTAAGCAAGTCCAAAGGGAGAAGAATTGTGTAAAACTCAGGTTTAAATTCCTAGTCATTTGGGCTTGTAGCAGAAGATGCTTTTCCCTGAAGAAAAACATGCACGAGGGAGGGAGGGTGGGGGAGGAGGGCATTTGAAGCTCGCACCAACCCTGCTCATGCGTCCCCAGGGTGAATGGACATTGGAGAGAGATTAAGGTGTTAGTTCCTTGTGCGTTCTTAGCCTCTGTCGGTTGGGGCTCTGTTGTTTCCGTGAGCAGGGATGTAGATGTGAGGTCCCAGATTTGAGCCCCCTTCATCCACCCAGGTTGAAATCAGGTGCTCTGAATCACTCTGCTTCTCAAATGTAGCGTCACAGATCCAGCAGGCAAAGTTAGTAAGACACATGTCGCTGTGGACAGACTGACCTGTTCATTCTAGACTTGTGTTAGCACTTGTTAGAAATTTCAAAGTGTGTAGGAAACTATGTTTGCAAGTGACATGTTCACAAACCTGCCTCGTCAGGGCCACTCTGTGGCTTTTAGATGGTTCCCCTGGTGTTCTTTCACTGGAGGGTGCACCCCTTTGGAGGGGGCTGAAGAACGGGTCAGGAGGGTCACAGTCCCTTGACTTTGGGTGCCATCTCCACTATCCACTGATAGTGGCTCTCCTTAGGCAAGTCCTCAAGCTCCCTCGGTTCCCTTGCCTGTAGGATGGGGTAATAGACCTTAACCTGTAAGGTTTCCCTGAAAGTAGCTTGGGCAGTGTCTGAGCCAGGCCTGCGTGTTATGGACAATTAAAGTAGCCCGAATAGGTTGGGTGACTTTTCGTAAGCGCAGATTAGCTGGGACCCAGCTCTGGCTTCCTATCTTCATGAGGCCACTGTGTCTCCTGTCCATAAAAGCATCGTGAAGAATCCAAGTGTTTGCATAGTCTAAAGGGGAACTTTGAGTAAATGTTAAGTATGGGGAGTGCTTTTGTGTCAGGGTTTTAGTTTGTTTGAAGAGGGTGGACCCTGTACACTTGAACAGTGTCCACAACAATGCAAACGTGACAGCTAGACCTGGATCAGCCTTGGAATTCTGTCACATTCTGAGTGTCCAGCCTACCAGGTGAGCACACCTCTCAAGGATAGCAGTGACCTTCGCAGCTGCCTCGTGCTCAGTGCGTGCTCTCTGCCCCTCCCTAGCTTCTGCGTCAGGAGCTTCTGGTTTGACCTTGTTTCCCTTTCTCCTAAGACTGTCCTGATCAGCAATCAGAGATAGGCCAGGACCAGCCACACAGCCATTGAGATCTGAGCCCAGGATGTGTTCTACACTGTGAGGAGGGAAGCTTCCTGTACCAAGAGGGGAAATGAGATATTTGAGCTACCCTCAGATGCTTTTCCTTCCACCAGTGAAACAGCCATAGGATGTAGAGGAATCTTCTCTTTCCCTGAGGACCTTCACTTGGACAGGGCAGAAGGGATGAGTATGGTTTGGTATAGTAAGTATATTCTCACCTCCAATTATAGCGCTGTTTGACTTGCCCTGACTTGTAAATTGTATTTACATTATGAAAATGGTTCCTGCGCTCTTCAGCAATACCAGTGTGATAGCCTGGGAAGTGGCCCCGCAGGAGAGCGGCTTCCCTAGAGTGTGTGAAGCCCTGAGTTCAGTCCCCGGTACTGTCAAAAGCAAACAACAACAGCAAACCATCTGTAAAAATTACAGAAACAGTGTGCCCCATCTTAAGTATCTGAAAATGAGGAAGAAAAGTGTCAGGGCAACTATCCAAAGGCACTGAAGAGCATGCAGGTCGGACATGGTCTGTCTCCATCAGCAACGGCCTACAGCAGACACTTGTGTTCCCTGCCGGCCTTGACCCCCCCCCCCATCCTGACACCCTCGCCCAACGTGAAGGCAGGACAAACTCCTAAGAAAAAGCTACCCTCTTCTGGCATGTAGGCAGAGCACTATTATCTGTAATAAATAAGTGAATCTAGAGGGGGGAGGGGCAGGAAGGAAGGAAGAGTAAGCTACCCTCTCACCAGCGTGGCCCCATGTCTGCTCAGAACAAGCCCCGTCGCCCTTGAGACTACCTTGACCAGGAATTGGAGCAGTTCTCCTTCCCTCCCCATGTTTTCAGGTCGTCAAGATCTCCCGCTCTCTTCTATGTGAAACAAGTTAATAGGTTTGTCAAAATACAAAATGTCATATTGTTGTCAGCTTCAAAGGATGCCTGACTGTCGGATGACACACATGGATTGCTGTTAAGTGACTGTGCCCTCAGACAGGTCTGAAAAACCCTAGGGGGTGGCAGTAGAGTCTGGTGAATGTCATCTGGGAGGAAAGAGGATTTCCATGTTTGAAATTTGGGGACAAAAACAACTTTGTCTTTCCTGCAAGGGTTAATGCGCTAGCCAGCTTCAAATTGGTTCTCTTGAATCTTAAAATTACTTTTCTGGTCACGCGCTCAGAAGGTCTACACATTTGTGAATCACCCCCACCCCCACCCCACCCCATGCTATTCTCTTCGGCTGTCTTAATTACACAGGGGTTGGGAAACCAAATTAAAACTAGGCGTGGCTGGGTAAACATCGACTACATTGCAAGCTTCTAGCTTCACTGCTGGGGTGGTTTCTCCTCCCTCCGTAGCTCTGCTTTTCACTTGCTTTTCTAAAGGAAATAGCACGAGGTCTTTTGGAAATACTCACAGGAAGTGGTCGCTGGATGCTGGTTACTCACCAGCCCCAGAGTCCTGACAGGTGGCAGGTGTGGCTGCCTCTCCTGCTTATGTGAAAGTAGCCCCCAGAGGGGCAGGCGCAGGGCTGGTTGGGTGCACAGCCAAGTGGCTTTCACGAGGTGACTGGTCATTGCCTGTTGTCTGGGGGAAGGGTGACTCAGGGCGCTGGGCCGGGGTCGGGGCACACACGTGGTAGCTACTCTGGAGTTTCTGCTCTATTCTCAGAATGCAGGCTGTCTCCTAAAAATGCTCCCTCCCTCCCACCCCCAACAGTCCTTCTTCCTCAGTGAGTCACTTCCAGAAATGAGTAGCCGCAGAGTTTGGAATGAGCATTGTGAAATCCCTCGTTTATAATGGCAGGTTTTCAGTTGGTGGCCTGATCAGACAGACAGTTTCTCAGGATCAGAATGAGAGCTTGTCTTTAAAAAGAAAAAAACAGTGAGAGAAAGAGAAGAAAGAAAGAAAAACGGAAAGTAAACCCCTTGGATTCAGAAAGCAAAAGTCTGCCACTGAAGAACTGTCACAGCCGACCTAGCCTGGTCTGTGTCAAGTTGTGTATCCTTAGATTTGCCTGCATGGATGAGTTCTTGGAATTACCGACCTCTCACCGGTAGTAGCTGGTGATTTCCGATGCAGAAGGTCACTAACTACATGAAACGGCTCTCTTCTGGGTGAGTAGGTGGTAGTTTCCGAAGGTGTTGAGCAGCTTGACTCACAGATTTAAAAGGCAGGATTTAAACGCCGGTGGCTCTTGCACACGCCTGTGCACTGCCGGACAGCAGGGCCCCGGGGAGCTGTTTAGCTGTGTGGATAGTGAAACCCAGTCTTTGGAACACGGAGAACTTTTGAGGAGGAGAAGGTATTTTTGCAGAAGGAAGTGGCTTGGGTTTTGGGGGGAGGGGACTTTTAGAGGTGTAATTAATTGGGTTTCTATGTTTATTTTAAGCATCTTTGGGGTAAAAGACAAATGACTTACTTGGTCCCAAAACTAACTCTACGGAAGCTGACCCATGTGGCCCTATACCAGCTGTACCTTCTGTCAAAGCAAATGCTAACCCCAGGGGAGACTGGCTGTCAGCATCCACACTGGGTCTGCCAGGCCCTGTGGGCTCCTGGGTCAGTGGGACCACTTTAATCCAGGGCAGAGAGGAGCTGGGTTACTGGAAACGGGGAGTGTATCTGTAAGGATTGTTCTCTCAAGTGGATCGGTTGCTTGACCTACTGACTCATTTCATAGGAATTGGGAAAACAACCTAGTGTGGTTTGATTGTTAATGCTTGAGGACTGCAGAATCCCTGGGCCTGCAATTGAGATGGGCTGGAGGAAGGTTGTGCTGGCACTCAGTTTCTGCCGGCCTGCCCTCTGCTCTTCTAATGGAATTCAATCTTCTGCTTCCAGGACAAGTCCAGCCTCTGCTTGGGGATCCTTGGGTGACCGGTCAACCGTGAGTATGTGTGACAACAGTTTCTGGTTCTCAGAATCTTGCCTAGAAACTTCTAACTGGCATTTTGTCTAAGGAAGGGCTTCCAAAAACTGTCGATGCTGGTGTATTTGTAATACATTTCACTTAGCATGGAAAGTACTATGGGTGTGAGCATAACTTCAGAAACAAACATAATCTATGGGCAACTATGGAAACAGAATTTAGATTTATTTATATCTTTAGAGCATACAGATAAAACTACAGTTGCAGTTTTGGTGCACTAAGTGCTTCTTTATTATTTAAAGCATAATAGCAAATAAATCCGTATATTGTAGGAAAAAATGAAAGATGTGCATTTGTGACAAGTGATGTAATATTTATGAGAGAGGCTTGTGAGTCCTGATACTCTGATTATATACCAGTACTAGCAAATGAACTTCAGAAGATAGCAAAGAAAGTCTGCCTAACCTGTGTGAAAGCAGAGGTTGAGAGAAGACAGCCATGACATTGCATATACAGTATTGCCTTTGTGTTGAGTATGCTGACTCTTGCCTCCTAATCACATCCTCAAATTACATCCAAAGGATACTTGGTGGGTGGTTACTATGGGTATTCTCATTCTCTCACCAGCGGGCTGAGTAGAAGGTGGAGATGGTGTGTCTTATTTATTGAGTGTACTGAGTTATATCCCAGTGCCTTAGAGTACAGTTATCAGTATGTTCTGGATGCTAGACACTCCCCCGCCCCTTGAGATTCTGGTGAAGCCATGAATTCCTTTAACTGCACCAATACACAACATTTGGTTGCACTTGGGGACATCCATAGACACAGAAGCCTCTGTAGATGCCCCAGGTGTAGGAGGTTGAGCTGGTCCCTGGGGCCTTATCCTGACTGGACTGTTAGGCTTCCCAAAGAACTGCTGTGTTAAGAGCAGGAAATAACCCGGCCAGAAGCCAGTCCATGAGGCTGCTGGGTGGAGGTCAGAGGCAGAGAAAAGGACAAAGGATGGAGGACACATGACTAACAGTAAATATTAGAAAGTGTTGTTGTCAGGAGTGTCACACGTGGGACCCAGAACTCTGCCTATTTAGTCAGGTAATTATGAGTTCAGGGTAGAGAGCTAAAGAGTCATAGTAAACAGCTTTACCCACTTTTTCTCAAATCAATTCAGGAAGTCTTTCTCTCCTTCCCTCTTTGGTTAGTGTTTCCATGGTGTGTGCCCCAAGTCAGGTAGGAGCACAAGTCGCCTGAACTTGAGGATGTAACTCCTCTAGCATTTCATAGTTATATTCCTGGGAAGAAGTGTGGCAGGGTAAGCATATGAGGATGTTGTTGAATGCAAAAGGAACAGTGTTTGAAAAAATACAGTCTTTATTGTTCATTAGCTCCGTTGAGTAGCATCGGAGCCATTGTGGAAAAGGAAGACACGAATCTTGAGTGTGTTAAAAGGAGTATAAGATGAAGGCTAAAAGGGCTGGGTTTGACGTTCGTCAGAGTCACTGTACTCAGTCTGAGTCATGCTTGAAGAAAGATGTTGGGCGATTGTGAGTTGCTGATACCCAGTCAACAGAATTACACACCCTTCAGTGAAAAGATAAGAAACTGAGGGTTTTAGTTGGAAGGCAAGGGAGGTTCTGTTACTGATGGTCGTATGCACTAACTGCTTGATTTCTCTTGTCTCCTTGGGCCTCCATGCTGCCCACTTTCCCTAACTTGTAGCACAGTGCATAGCTGTTGGTTTAGAAATGCTTGTAACACTTTGATGATAGCCTCACTGAGAGTAAGTACATCCAGATAAATCCAAAGAGCTGTTGTTGTGACACAGGAATAATTAATATATCTTCTGGCTGTGAAAAATTGGTAAGGTGACAAAATAGTTGAGCCGAGGGATGTGAATGATAATTTTCTCGAAAGAAAGTAACTATTTTGAGTGGTAGGACATTTATTCTTTCAACAGTCACTCAGGGCCAGTCGGTAGACAGGCACAAAAGGAAGACTGTGATGCTTAGTTACACTACTATGGGGACATAAAGCAGCATGTGGTGGGGGCTCGTGACTTTCCGCCACCACCCTGTGTGACTTCCTGATGCAGTTGAAGTACGGAATGCCTCCTTACAGGGCAGCCATCGAGGCTAGCAAGATGCAGTTAGTGGTGAGCCATTCCCATGAGGACCTGGTACATAGGGACACAGACCTAGGAGGTGTGTGGCAGAAGGCATGGGTCCAGGAAGGAATAATGAGAGCCAGACATTGGGGAAGCCCTAGTTTACACAAGACTAGTGTACCACACACGGTGGCCTGATGATTCCCAAGAGGGTAGCCTGGTTAGACATCCAACGTGGACAGACAACCCGGCAGCCGTGAAAGGACTTGGTTTAGAGTGTGGTGGGGGTAAACGGTAAAGGGGCTCCTGACACATGGAGGAGTGGATTCCCGGGAGAGGAGTGAGCAGGCGGATAAGGCAAAATGGGCACAATGCTTGTAGTATCCCTCACTGTGGAACCGTGAAACAATGCCAGAGGGAAGTCCAGGCCTGGAGGAATGAACAGGTGACGTGACAGAGAACACAATGACTAGGTAATGAGGATGTGAGAGAAGGAGTGAGTAGGAAGTCGGATTAATGGACATGGACTTCGAATTTGATGAACAAACAATTCAAATGAGCAGGTGGTCTTGACTGGTGTGTACACCCTTTTCCAAAGCAGTGGTCATTCTCTTTTGCATTGGTTATTAGTTGGTGACAAGGTCTACCTTTAGTAGCCTTCAATGGCCTTAAACTTATTATGTGGCCCAGGTAGACATGGAACTCAATCCTTTCTGCCTCATCCACCTGGGCTTTGTGTTTAAACTTGGTTCCAAGTTATGGTAGTAAAAGTTTCCATTGTGTATGTCTGAGGCATACAATACATTTTGATGGACAGTCAAATCAATTTATACCTGTATCTCACATGGTTAAACTTACGTATGTAAAAGCACCTAAATTCCCCTGTACTACTATATTGACTGCTGTTCAGCCATACTTCCCATTGATTTATCTCAAATAACAGAAATTATGTACCCTTTAACCTTTATCTCTTTTTTTAAAGATTTATTGATTATGTATGTATACAGTGGTATGCCTGCTTGTATACCTGCGGGCAGAAGAGGGAACCAGATCTCATTACAGTAAGTTGTGAGCTACCATGTGGTTGCTGGGAATTGAACTCATGGTCTCTGTTAAGGGGAGCTAGTGCTCTTAACCTCTGAGATGTCTCTCTAGCCCTAGCCTGTATCTCTTAGCCCCCCTTGCACTATTGTGTGTGCTTCTGTATACTTGACTTGTTTATTTCCACATATAAAAAAGAAGGGAAATTATCTTCAGTTCCTGAAGATCGGCTGGTGTTAATGTCACATACTAATGCTTTTGGGTCTCTTCCCATAGCTACCTCCTCTCACAGTGCAGGAGCTTTATGGACCCTTGCTCTAGCCCACTTTTTAGATGAGCATTTTCTCCGCTAAAGCATTTTAATGGTGCATTGTGCTCTCCTTTGAGGTTCAAGTTTTTTCATATTTCAGTAGTTATCCTCTAAAATGCATGAGTACTGGAAATTTGTTTCTTGTGGGTTTGGGTGGTGCTACATGCCTTTAACCTCAGCACTCGAGGCTGGCCCATGCAGCAAGTTCTGGGTCAGCCAGGGTTATGTAGAGAGACCTTGTCTCGTTTTGTTTTGTAATTTCCTTAGGATATGTTGAATAGTGAGTGGGTCTTGAAGGAATCAGACTACAAGATTTTGATGGGTTTTGCTGACTTGTTTCTCAAGTATTTGCACCATACTAGACACATTTTTTAGCAGACTTTGGAATTTCTCACAGCCTTTTTATAGGTGCTGTTACTACCTTTCCTGGTAGTCTTCAGACAGAATGTTACATTGCTTTTGGTTCGTTTATTCAGCAGGCATGTAAAGCACGCTCATACCATGTTAGTTTTTCCTAGTAAGCTGAGCTTTGTTCATGTGTCCACAAGTCTCTTTTCTCTTTTGTAGATGTCTGTCAATGCTCATCACTAATGTTTCTGGTGAAATACGGCTCTCTGTAATAGTTTTTATCTCTGTATGGATGAGACGTACTTGGGCCAGATAGTCCTCCTCCCTTCTTTGACTTCTCGTTTCACTTGTCTGTCTTTTTTTGTTTTTCCCCCTTGGGTGAGTTAGTGGCATTTGTTTCTCCTCTGGCTAAAGCTTGCTCCTCTGTACTGAAGACTTGTCCTCCTACTCAAACCTTAGACAATATTTGTTTTATTCTTTTAAGAACTAATTTTATTTTTCTTTCTTAAGCTTGACAAATGACAAGGAAGGTCTGAAGCAAAGATTCAGATGTTTTTTTTTTTCAGAGTAAATCCCCCAGCATTGTACACTGAGTCATCGGTCTTTCCCAGGTAGTTGGTGTTCCCGTTATTTTCTGTTCCCACACTTTGTTCCGTAGCAGGATGCCATGAAGTGCCTGGGTAGTATCACTTGAGTGCAGGGTGTGAGCATAGTTTTTACAAACATTTTATTATAAAGTCTCAAATACACAGCAAAATTGAAAGTTTTATGCTAAACTCCTTCCATTCACCTGCTGGATGATGGTTCCACAATTAATATTTTACCAATCTTTTATTAAAACCATGTATTTATTGGTGTAATACTTTCTAAACCATCATTTGAACCCCAAGAAGAGTCTTATAGAAGTTTTCCCTAATCCATGTTATGTCTTTGTATGTTTCTTTTTAATTTTCAGATCTGCTTTTGAGGACTTGTGGGAATTTTTATTAGTAGTACCGTAGTGAGCAGCACAGTATATATTGAGGAACACTATATTTTCCAGCATGTTTCTGTTATCTAACTTTATGGCTTGACTTCCAAGGCTTATGAGGTGATGAGTTTTTTTCTTAAGCCTAGTTCCCTGTTATAGGTGGCTTTCCCTAACAGTAGTTGTCTCTTGACAAGATGGTGCAGCAGCTGGGATGGAAGGTTAGGCCTGACCAGAAGTAGCTGCCCGGACCACAGTGCTAGCCTGAAAGCAGACACTGTCCCAGGTTGCTTTTCTGACGGATGAACGTTGCTGTGCAAGGGAGCCCTTACTGGGAGAGTAGACTGCCCTGGAGAGCCTCGAACTGCAGACTGTGCCTCCCAGAGGGCTATTTTCTAACAGCCCTGGTTCATAGGGAGGGAGCAGCAAGTCCTCAAAGACCTCAGGTCAGAGAGCTCCAGCCCTTTGTCCAGGCTGAGAGCCACCAATACAGACTCTCAGGTCATCGTGAGCCTCGATGGGACCACACCCTGGACATAAGTTGGTCACAGTGCTATAACAACTAGCTGGTCCCTGCTTCTCGGGGCAGCACACAGCCAGATGGATGGGACATTCCCAGCCTGCCTGGAGAGACTTGCCTCCGCTCACCAAGGCAGTGACCATACTGCTTTCCCCCATGCTAGCCTCAGTTTTGCATCTGTAAAAATACTTACAGTTGCACTGATAGTTTCTTTATCAACCATGTGTGACTTCTAAGATAAACCATTGAACATTAATTAATACCCATTCTTCCTCAGAAATCTAGGAGGAGGATTTTCCTCCATCGCTTTTCTAAGTAGTACTTAACCATGGTGAAGATCACCAAATTTGGCTCTTGAGTTAGAATTTGAGGCTGTTAGGTGAGGCTCTGTCCATGGGATTGGGGAGGGGGTATGAGGTCTAGTGGGGTAACATTTCTACAGTCATTCGGGGGAGGTGCCTTTCTTGGCAGGAATTTTGGTGACTCCCTCCTTACTAGAATTCTGCTTTGACCTCTTCCATGGGACACATTTACCCAATGTCACCTGGGTTCCAAATCCTGTTTCCCAGCAGAGGGGACAGTTGTGTTTTAGAAGCCTAGCCAACAGAGTCTTTTAACTCCAAGAATATCCAGAGAAATCCATCACCTAAATGAAGTCCAGCATATTCAGACGGGTGTATTTCTAAGCAGATGGTTTCGGGTGGGGATAAAGTGTTGTTTAAAGTAATGTCCCCCTCCTAGCGCGTCTGTGCTCCACTTGCTGCTTCCCAACCGTCTTTACTTACCTAACCCCGTCAGGTGCTGCTGCATCAGGACTATGGCCCAGGGTGGCCCAGTGGCTTTACAGAGGCCCAAATGCTGCATACAGACACTATTCGACTTTTACGAAATTAGCCAGGAGCAAGTTGGGGAGATACACAACTTTCCTCTTACATATTATTACTATTATTGTAATTATTATTATTATAGTGTTAAAACATAAAGACAGATGCAAAGGCTCACACACACACACATACACCCCACTCATCTCTGTGGTATGCACAGAGTATATGAATCACCTTCTAAATACACAGCTAGGTTTGAGTTAGCTCCAAGGTTAGGTCTGCAGGAAATAAGGCTGCTGAGGTCATAGGCTGTGTGGAGGGCGCATGAAGCCACTCACCACAGGGAATCCTGAGGGACGGTGTCATAGGAATGCTGCCTTTAGGCTGAGTCATGCCCATGTGGATGGAACTTGTCTCCCAAGTATCACTTTGCTAAAATATTAAAAACTGCCACCAGTTAAATGAAACAAAGTTGGGGTATGCGCAGAAACCCTGAGGTTACATGACAGGATAACAAGGCAAGTAAGACCCTTGCCTGCTGCCACAGATGTGTGGTCAGCACACACATGTAACTCTGACATCTTGGTAACTGAGGCAGAGCTTATGGCCAGCCTGGGCTACATAATGAGCTAGAGGCAAACTGTGCAGAGAGAGTATAAATTATGAGGTGTGGCTTTACTTTAGAAGCTTGGTCCTGAGGTGGAAGCTGTAATGGGGTATTTTGTGCTGTTGCCCTCTGGGATACTTACCAAGAAGAAATTTAAAGGAGGCTGTTAGCATTTTGGATAAGTCATGGATATTTTCCGCGATGGCATTTTTATGTTTTTATTTAACTGTGAGAGTTCTTCCCTTGAAGTGAAATGTAACTACCATGTGCTTGACGGCCATCTCACCCATAGTCTGCCACATGCTGTTGGTGTCTAGCCCAGAAGCTGGTGTTACCGGGGGAATAGTCCTACGATCATTGTTCCGGGGTTAGAGTGGACAGGGAAGACTCACTTTTGTGTTCATGTTCCTCATTCCTGTAACTGCCCCCAGCATAGAACCTGATGCAACACAAATTGAAGAGGCTGATGACAGCAACACATGTCAGAGGCATGGGCCAGGCTGTTAAGAGAAGCTTTTCCTTTTGCTAGCCGCTTTGGTTTATCACCTGCCAGTCGCCTGGGCTCTGCCGCATTGTAGTTCCCAAATAAACACACAGGAAGCTATATTAATTATGAAGCTGTTGGCCTTGCTTGTTTCTTACTAGCTAGCTCTGACTTAAGTAATTACCCCATAATTGTTAATCTAAGTAGTTCTCTTACCGGAGAATGGTTCCGGGCTTCCTACCCCCATGACATTACATCTTGACTCTCTGTGTTTCTCCTTCCCAGAATCCTCCTGGACTCCTAGTCCCACCCATCTAGATTCCTATTGGCTCAACAGTACTTTATTGAAAAATAACAGGCAAATAATAGGACTTCCCCAACACCAGGCACTGCACCAGGTTTCTCTGTGGCAGGGGACCACTGCAATACCCACCCGGCACAGACAGGGTTGGAGAACTAGTCATTTTCCTGGGGAATCACACAGCCAACAAATGCAGGAACCAAGATTCAAATTGCAGTGGTCTGCCAGCTACACCCAAGCTTTGAATTCGTATCCTATTTGGTTTCCTGACTCATTTCAGATTTTATCTATTGGGCCATTATTCAGTTTGATGTAGTCACGTATCCTCAGACTGTTTCGGAAGAATGCTCTTGTCCTCCTGGATACTTTCATGGCATTCCTTGTTCTAGTTCACTTTATGACCATGTGCCTCTACCGAATGTGCTGTGACCGTAAGAGGTACTTTTCAACAAAGGCAGTTCACAGCCTCCAAGGCTAAGAAAAGTGGGGTGGCTCCTATGGGCCAACTCCCTTTCCTTTTTTCTTGTTTTCTTTTTTGCTTGTTTGTTTTTAGAGACAGGGTTTCTCTGTATTGTTTTGGAAGCTGTCCTGGAACTCGCCCTGTAGACCAGGCTGGCCTCGAACTCACAGAGAATCCGCCTGCCTCTGCCTCCCGAGTGCTGGGATTAAAGGTGTGCACCACCAATGCCCTGCTTTTTTGTTTTGTTTTGTTTTTTTAAGATTTATTCATTTATATATACAGTGTTCTGCCTGCATGTATGCTGCAGGCCAGAAGAGGGCACCAGATCTCATTACAGATGGTTGTGAGCCACCAAGTGGTTGCTGGAATTTAACTCAGGACCTCTAGAAGAGGAACCAGTGCTCTTAACCACTGAGCCATCTCTCCAACCCCCCAGAGATTTTTTCAATGATATGTAGGTATATAAATTATAATATCAAACCAGGTACAATGGCACATGCCTTTAATTCCAGCACTTGGGAGGCAGAGGTAGATAGATCTCAACCACCAAGGCTAAGAAAAGTGATGTGTCTCCTACGGGCCAACTCCCTTTTCATGATTGGAAACAACTGAGAGCTCACTAGTGCTGTCCCTTCCAGGAAGCTCAGGTCCCATAATTTAAAGGCAGCACCACAGTTAACTACGCAATTCCTCTGTTGGGGGAAAACTTGGCTTCCTGTGTACTCTGGCCCCCCCTTCCCTGCTGTGGTGATATTATCCAACAGGATGAATGAGGCAGGATAGGCTGAAGTTCTTCCCTTTCTCTGCCACCTCAGTGAAACACATCCCTTCCTGGGTGCTCCCAAGATGTGTTTTGACTTACCAGTGTTTGCCTTTTCTGACCTAGTTTCTCTTAGGAACTTTGAATGAGAGACAACTGACAGTTCTGTGTAACACGTTCATACAATATGCCGACCCTCCCAGCAACTGATAGTTTTCTCTGCCCGTGTCTCACTGATGAAGAGACGTCAGCTTGCGCCATGCTGACACATGGTTGGTGAGTGGCAGATCCAGGACGTCACTCTTCAGTCCTTAGCCCTTGGATCCTGTTCTCTTGTTGGCTGTGAGGCTCGTCCTTAGCCATGTGTTGCTCTTGGGCAGTTAGCTGGACTCACAGACTTGGTTATGTTTGGGGTTTTTTTTTCCTTTTTGCTCTCTTCTCCCCCAGTTAGCAGCCTCATTGCCAAATTCTCACCCCCACGCATTTTTCACTTAGAGTCACACACTAACAAGTGGTAGAACCTCCCCAAGCTGCAAGATGTTGACTTTCAGTCTTTCGTGTAGACCATGCTGGCTGCTTCCCTTTATTGTATAGATTTGGCAGGGCAGAAGGCCATGGGTTTGGGTAAAAGGTATGAGCAAATTGCATGTGAAAACCCTGGTTGTGTTAGAGAGAAGTGAGCGTGATAGGAGGCGTGTATACCTGGGCAATGAGGAAGTGAGCAAGAGAATGTGTGGGCGGCCCGTGCGCTTGGCACAAAAGACGCTTAGAGAGGTTGCTGGCCAGGACAAGCTGTGTAATTAAACAGTTGAACAGGTCTTCCCAACAGCAGGGTGGTGTTCTCCACAGGCCTGCAGGGGAACGGGGAGAGCGAGCGAGTGAGCGAGAGAGCTGGAAATGTCTTTGGACACACGGAGCTAGACATGAGTTTTCACACGCAGGTAAGCTGAAGAATGTAAAGTCCAGGCAGCAGTTCGTAAGCCCAAAGAATCAGCCCAATACTCAGCGTGGCTTTCTTTTAGGTAATATTGGGCAAAGTGGGGATTTTTAATTTCACAAAGAAATGGATATCGCCACCACAGTAGAACACAGTACCAAAGTTAATTCCCCCCCCCCATGTGATCCGGCCTGGTGTTGACCCAACCTGTATGTTTTATATTTAGATCTCCAGAGAGACCCTCCTGCATTTATTATTCTCTTGTGGAGGCAAAGTCAGAAAGAGGAAGACACCATCAGAGACCCTTCCTCTGGTGTTCACTGAGCATGTGCTGTGTGTCAGTCCCTGGTCAGCACCAAGCTAAGGGTGATGGAAGGTCGGACAGGAAAACGAGTGTGGCTTCTTCTGTCAGTGTGGAACCTAGGTGAACCACTCAAAAGCGAGGATCTAGGAGGCGATTTCAGCACACAGTGGGTCATGGGGAGTTAGCAGTGAGGGCTCCAGACAGAAAGAAAGACCAGCCATTGGGCCAGTAGAAGAGGCCCTAGGGCAATGGTTCTCAACCTTGCTAATGCTGCAACCCTTGTTAAT